CGTACTCCTTTGGAACCGGACCAGAAACTGAAGGTATCAAAGGAGCACTTCATCCCAAAATTAATGTTCGGACTGCAGAATCCCAGGATCCCAGGTCAGACCTTGCGCTCAGCGGATCGCAAAGCACAGCCTTCGCCTAAATGAGCATACCCCTGACGCTGCACTTCATGCCAAAGATGGTGGTCATGGGATTCTGGAGCTCCGGCATTTTATTCCGTGCGTCTTCCTGAAGCGCCTGACTGGGCTTCTCAACCACATCGACGACCAATCCTTGAGCGCCGTCCTACAGTGTGCTGAAACGCGAGGACTCTTGGATCGATTAAACACTCTAAAAAGCGACGTTTCGAATGATCATCTGTGGCGAGACCGCCTAATGCAGGCGCCCACATTGAAAGGCCTCGAAAATTCCGCAGATGATCCCGCCAGTAGGAGCTGGATAGACCAAAAACCAGCAGGATGGACAGGCCGAGACTTTGTCAGAGCCGTGCAACTAAGATCTAATAACCTGCTCGTAGCGAGCATCAAAAAAAAAAAAGAAAAGGGGGAGCGAAACTCGCCCACCACCACCCCTGCTGAGCAGGCTACTGACTACACATGAATTTGTTAACAATTCTTTGATATCAATTAAGTTAATAAAGTTGCCATCATTCAAGGCACCTGCCTTTCGGCTTATCCTTGAATGAGACTGTTTTATTTCGCCACCCCTTCTCTTTTGCTGTCTTTTCTCAACCCATATTAATCAAAATATAACATTACATACATTACATTTACAGAATTTATAATAATCAGTTATTTCCTTACAATAAAAGGTACTTCAGTTAATTATAGCTAAAGATTTATACAATCCTAAGACCCTACATCTACAACTCAGTCTCAAAATTTTTGTATTTCACACGATTAAAATCTTCCAATAATAAATGAGCTTAAAACTTCGAGGTTCGGTCCTATTTCTAAGATTAAGTCTTCTAGTCTAGATTTTCTCTTCCTTGTATTTCCAGGTTATTTCTTGCTTCTTCGGATCTCGGACATGCTAGCAGTCTATGCGCTGGAGTATCTGGTTGTTCACAAATAGTGCAATTTGGGCTTGCTGCTTTGCCAATTTTGTTTAAATGAATCATCATTTCTCCATGACTTGTTAAAAACGATACGACGATTCTTCCTGGACGATGGTGTGGCATATTAATCCAGGGCCTAACGTTCTGAATTAGTTCAAACGTTACCCTGCCTTTACTTGTTGTGTTCCATATTCTCTGCCATTCTTCAATCAAGATTTCATCCACATGCTGTTTAACAGTTGACCAATATCTAAATTCCCTCACCATTATGTCTATTCCAGCAATGTTTGCTTCTCCTGTTTTCTTGAGGTTTCTTATTGCCTCTATTTTGATCAGTTCTAAATGGACTGGCATATTTTTTGTGATAATACATAACGTCTCTCTCGGGACCGTTTTATATGCACCTGCAATGCATCTCATGCATAATGCTTGCAGTGTCCTTAGTTTCTTCTGCGTTGAGCCTATATCTATCTTGTTAATCCAGAACCTTAGTCCATATGAGAGTATCGGCAAGATCGCTTCACTATATATTGTTTGTATTGAATTCGCTAGTTTTCCCCAATTGGTATATAGATATTTCCTTAATACCTGAAATATATTTGTGCAGCTGCCAACAATATATTCAATATGATTATTGTAACTTAACTTATCGTCCATTATTATTCCCAGGTATTTGATTCGTCTAACTCTTGGAATGGGTAGTCCGTTTAGCCTTATTGCCGGATTTCTATTGAATGAAAGTTCCGAAAATATAATATAGTTAGTTTTTGTTCGTGAGATTTCTAACTTTTGCGAACTTGCCCAGTTACTTACTTTTCTTAAACATTCATTTGTCGCGCTTTCTAGGTTTGCTCTATTATTGGCTATTATACTAATTGCTATATCATCGGCATATGCAGTTATTTTAGTATTGTCGGGCCAGTTCTCTCTGAGTAGAGGTTCCATTGTTAAGGTCCACATGAAAGGTCCTAGTGCCGATCCTTGTGGACATCCTATGCTTAGATTTTTCGTTACTCTAGTATGTTTGAATCCGTACTCGATTTTTCTATCTTTCAGGTAGCTTTTCAAGATTCCTACAGCACCTTCTGACATTCCTAAATTATGTGTATATTCAATAAATTTTGGCCACCACATGTTGTCGAATGCTCCTGCGATATCTATAAAAATCACCACCTGATGGACGCTAGGTTGCTGGATATGATTTAGTACTGATTCAATTCCATTGAGAGTATTTCTTCTTGGAATAAATCCATGCTGGTCAGGACTTGATAGTTGTTCTCTTGGTATCTCCCTCGTTATTGCACTGATTATGCTTCTTTCGAACATTTCACCTAGTTCCGAAAGGAATGTTATAGGTCTAAGCGATTTGGGGTCACTTAAATCCTTATCTGGCGACTTCAGTATTGTAATAAGTTTTCCAAATTTCCAAGCATTAGGAAAATACTTATTTGAAATACATATTCTAAATAATCTGATTAGGTTCTCCTTCAATTCTGGGAAACAAAGTGATAAAACTCTGCCATGTATACCATCTCTTCCTGATGCTTTAAAGGCTTTAATTGCCATCAACGCATTTATTACATCATCTTCAACTATATCAAATTGCACTTCATTATTACCTGTAAAATTGTCCAGATTTTCTCAAGTTTCTTGATGATTATTCGTCAATTCGCCTTCCTGGTTTCTGACAGTGTTGTATATAGTACTCATTTTTATTTTATCTGCTGCTAACCGATAGGTCGTTCCCCGCGGGTTTTTATTGAGATCCTCCTCGACGAATTGTTTCCAGCTATTTTCTTTTGCTATTTTTATTTGCTTTTTATAATTATTCATTGCTTCCTTGTATCTATTGTGTTTTTCTTGCTGGATTGTTAAATTCTGATTTAAACTTCTTGAGGTTTGATATTCTTTTCTTAGTCTTGTAACATTATGTTTGCTATCTTTTAGGGTGCCTGTCCACCATTTCGAGTTTCTTTTGGTTTCGGTCTTCTTAGCTGCGGTCTTTTTCGTGATCTTTATTATACCATCTATAATCCTATCTACAAAACTATCTATATCATCTTTATTATTTATTGGTAGTCTATCAAGTTTCTCCTTTAACTCACTCGCCATTCTTCTGAGCAAGTGTAATTTTAGTTTTCTCATACTATATGTTTGGTTTTCTTGTGTGTTAACAGTATTGCATCCGAAGATGATCTCAATAAGCCTATGGTCGCTCTCAATTTGATTTTCTTTTACCTCCCATAATAATAAGTTTCCTTATTAGCGTCTTCGAGCAAATGCTTATGTCTATATTTGCTTCGCCATTTATAGTTGAAAACGTGCAAGGTTGCCCAGGTTTATTAATGATATACAACCCATTTGCAATCAGAAATTCTTCTACTTCCTTACCTCTTTCATTTTGTTTCCTTGCATGCCAGCTGTTTGATATAGCATTAAAATCACCCAGGATTAATATGCCACTATCTCCTCTATTCAATGCTAACTCAGTTAGCTTATCCAAGTCATCTTCTAACTTTTCTTGATCATTTGGTGGGCAGTATACACTGACTATTAGCATGTCCACTCCTTCGTTATTTATTGAAATCGTAGTTATTAGTTCATTACAATATTGTATTATTTCAAGAACATCTAAATCCAAATTTATCACTATAATAGCTGATTTAGGCTTATTTTTGGTGTCACAGGCAATCTGAAAGCCACTGAATCCAGGTATTTGATAGAGATTTTTACTGTTTTTACAACTATAAGGTTCTTGTAGTACGACTAGATCGTATTGTGTTTTATCAATTTTGTGCCTTAGTTCAGCTGTTGCCGTTCTTGATCCCTGCAAGTTAATTTGACCAACTTTTAATTTTCGCTCGTTATGGGCCATAGTTTATATTATTTACAACTCTTGTCTCATGCTGACATTCTCTGTCAGCCATTTTGCTATCCTTACAATTGATACACTTCGGATTTCCTTCTTTCTTGCAATTTCTTGTGTCATGACTTCCTGTGCAATAACCACGAGTGGTCTAATTTTTGCATTTATTTGCCAAATGACCAAAGTTTTGGCAATTATAACATCTTAATACGTTTATATGGTCTCTCACACTGCAAACATTCCACTCTAGGTAAAGTTTTCCTCTACCAATTAATTCCTCTATAACGTCATATTCGCATTCTATCACCCAAGTTACTACTTCTGTTCCTCTCTTACCAAATTTATAAATTGCGTTTATTTCTTTCTGATTTCCAACAGGTATTGCTAATTCGTCATTTATCTTGTCATCTACATCGTTTGATGTCCAGTTTTCTGGTATGTTCATAATGGCGATTCTAGGGTTGAATTTATTTGGTTTCTTGATTTCCAAACCAAGTTCCTCGAACATTTGGGTGTTTACTTTTGCTTTCACAGCTATTATTGTTATGCCATTATTATTAATTGGTATAAATTTCTTTGCCTTTATACTCACCTTAGTGGCATCTAACTTTTTTATTTCTCTCATAGTGTCCTCACTATTTTTTACCTTATTGTTTCCTTCTTTGGGGAAAATCAGTAATACTTCATCGGTGGTCGGCTCCGCGGTTTTAGTGTCTCTCTGGCTTACGACAGAAATTAGTTCTGTAAATGCGTTTGTCATGTTTTCCAATGTGTCTACAACTCCTTTTTTCTTATTTATTGATTCTCTCGAAGTAATCATAATGTTTGTTATTGTTTCTCTAGCTGATGAAAATTGTTTCATGCATTCCTTGATTACTTTTGTCAAGTCATCGCTCATCTTTTTCCTACTATATTCACTGTATTCACAGTTTTCTGTTCTTCTATCATTCAATCCTTGAGATTGTATGATAACACTTTCACCGGAGGTGGATTCATTATCACTGTTATTTTGCTCTTCTCTATTATACCCTTCCCCTTGCCCCTTTTCTGCATTTAGATCCACAATTGTTCCCACGATTATGCGAGGAAGTTTCATGTCCACTCCTACAGTGCCCGCTTATAGAAGTAAGGCTAAATTTCATTGAGTGTCGCCACAGCTCAAGAGAGCCACTAGAAGCATGTTAACCCAAATGCCATCCATATCCTCGGCATGGCTACCTTGATATTGGGGATATTTCAATCGAGGTTTACTCCTCTAGGGTTGAGCCGTCCACCGCTCATCCTCGACCTTACCGGCAAGGGTCACCCTGCCAGGAGCTTAAGCTCCCGCCAGCATTGCTCTCGGAATCACTGCATCTTCTGGTTCTCCCCACCGACGAAAAGGTCTCACGGCTCCTTGGGGGGGTGTAGCGGGCATCATGTCAAATCTGCCCGAATGGCGAAGATACAGGGCCGGTTTTGGCAAAGTTGAAAGCCTGTCCCACGCCCTACAGCAGTGTCCCGCCACACACTGGGAGAGGATCAGGCGTCATAACAAGGTGGTCAAGAAGGTCGCCGGGCTTCGCAGGAAGAAGCAATGGACGACCAAGGAAGCACCCCACGTACGGCACCAGGACGGTACGCTTATTAAACCGGACTTGGTTGTCCACCATTCCACTAGTACACTTGTTGTGGACGTGGGGGTGAATTGGGAGGGAAATCAACTCCCGGGGTGTGACGTATGTTGCTAAGAAATCAGTCTACGGTAACAATAAATAATTGGAGGCCGCAAGACAACGTTGGCCTGGTAAAGCTTCACAAGTTTTGCCCATTATTGTTGGGGACTGGTCGAGGTGTAACGGGCCCACCGATGAAGCTCTAAACACAGGCGTTGAGGGCGAGCTGTGTGCAAAGCGTGCCCAAGTGGTGCTTTTCGATCCACCAATCGTTTGGTCTGCAGGCTCGCGGGTGTCACAGTTTGCGCGGTTCTTACCCGCCACTAACTAGCAGGCAACGTTTTTTTTAAGTGTTGTGGCCGTGGGCATCCCTAAATCATAAGTGTTTTAGAGTGTAGTATTGTCCCATTAATCATATGACTTTTTCAACCTGCTTGAGCATGTAACATATATATTTTATTGTATTTCAATTCTTGTAAATTCAACTATCTCGACATTGGTGACTAACCAGATTTCTTCTGTTTTCACTGTGCCAGCACCCCGAATTTCACGACTTAATTTTAGGCATAACGACCTGGTGGGAGGACTTTCAATGCAACCAACCCCCAACATAGGGTACATGTATTTTATGATGAATAAATATTTTGACTTGCCAAATGCCTCTTCATCTAACTAGTGACACGCATGAATGGATTAACGAGATTCCCACTGTCCCTACTCACTCCCACTAAGCAGCTGTGAGACCTTTACGTTGGTATTATATGTACCAAGAGTGATAACATTGAGTTCTCCTGAGAAATGAGAATTTCTAATGAAACTCTCACTTTTACCTGAAAAAGGATTGATAATAACCAAAAAACTTGCTAAATTCCAACATGAACTCAGGATTGGTCTTACTGGTATATTTATAATAATAATATAATAATAAATACGCTTTTATTCACACAAATAAAAATATAAAAATAAAAATATGAAGATGTAGAGATACTGAATACAATATTACAGAATACGAATAGAAGATACAAATTTACAAAATACAAAAATACATCTATCACATTAATTGTGAAACAAAGCAAAATCCGATAAGTGTATACACACTTGTTTCGGTATGACAAATTGTGAATAAGGAATATTTTAATAACAAAATGTATAAAATGAGTAAAAATTATCAATAGGTATATAAATAATATAGAGAGTATATTTAAAAATCTAGGTTTAGATTTAAACATAGCGACGTAAAATTCTTTCTTTTTTCAATTAGGTATCGAAATATTGATGCACAGATCTGCCTATTTCAAGTAGGTGATTCCTCAGCTGAAGTTTGAATTCATTTATATTGATCAGTAATTTCAAGTTGTCCGGAATACTGTTATATAACTTTGGGGCAAGGTAAGAGTAAGACCTTTGAGTAGCTGTTTTGCACATGAATGGAATGATATAGTGTTGTTTTTTTCGAGTATTGTGTTCGTGTTCCGGTATTCGGGAAAATTGCTTGTGTAAGTGATGTCGCACGCAGGAGCAGTGGTAATACAATTGTCTGATATCGAATATTTTCGTTTCAGTATATAATTCATTTGTCGGATAACGGGAGTTCTTCGAAAAAATTAATTTCAAAAATCTTCTCTGCATGACATCTAAGGTATGGAGATAAGTTTTTGGAGCTGAGCCCCAAAAAAGTATACCATAACGAAGGTGGCTTTCAACTAGGGAATAATATAATGCTTTGAGGTAGTTTTCAGGTAAGATTTCTCTGAGTTTCCTGAATTTATACAATATAGATCTCAATTTATTCAAAATATATGCTATGTGTAAGTCCCATTTCATGTGAGTATCGATAATTATGCCTAAGTATTTAATTTTTGTTTCAGGATATATGGTGAAAGTCTCCAGATGAGATCTCACATTAAGTTGGTTGAAGGTCGGTTTATTAGAGGAGTTACAAGTGAAGTATAGGTAGGTAGTTTTTTCTTTGTTAACGGTTAGTAATTTGGAATCCAGCCATTGTTTAATTCGTGAGAACCTAGCTTCCGCAGTGACTCTCAATTCATTCCAGGTGTCCGCTCTATAGAAGATAGCTGTGTCGTCGGCAAACCCAATGATGTTATCATTATTTTCCAGGAAAAATAGTTCATTAATATAAATATTGAAGAGAGTAGGACCAAGGACACTCCCTTGCGGAACTCCATATTCAATATGCATCTCATTGCTGAGAGTATCCTCAATCCTCACAACTTGATGTCTGTTTGTGAGATAGCTTTCAAGAAACAGCAATTCATTATTGCGTATTCCGATATCTTCTAAGCAGTTTAAGAGTAGTTGGTGGCTCACTGTATCGAAGGCTTTCGATAAATCGATGAATAAACATAAACACGGACTGCTGTCATTGAGGCTTTGGTTTATTTTTGTTGTTAAGGCAATTACAGCATCCTGTGTTGATGTTTTTTCTCTGAACCCATACTGCTGTTGGGATAATATTCTGAAGTTATTTAGAAAACTAACGAGGCGTTGTTTTATAAGTTTTTCGAAAACCTTTGATATATGAGTGATGAGGGATATGGGTCGATAATTAGTAATCTTCTTTTCATTGTCTTTTTTGAATATAGGAGTAACGATAGAACTTTTGAAGGCCGTTGGGTAAACTCCATGTTCTATAGAATTACTGAATAAATGGGTCAAGGGATGCATGATGTATAGACTTTGTTGAGGCCATATTAACGATTTTATGGATTATGTTTTATTTTGGAATAACTCGAATTGTTCTTTTATTTCCTGGGCTATAACAAAAGATTTTGTTGTATTGTGTGTTGCCTACAGAACATGAATAATTTTTGTAGCAATATTCATCGGATCACATTTTTCAATTTGTAGAATTTTTGCGCATTCGTGATTGAGAGTCGAGACTAGACCGTTTGGCCCTACCGAATCGTTTTGTGAAAATTGAAACAGTGAAACTGACAAACTTTCAACTTAGCATATATCTCTAATTGTGGATCCTATATCTACCTGTTTTATTCATTCTTCCAATCCTACCTATTTACCCTCATATTTATCCCCGTGGTAAGCAGAAGAAAGAAAGCATGGACCTCATTCCATCATCCAAGGTAAGCGATTAGAGATTTCCAAAATACAGTCCATATTAAGCCGATTACATAACATTTTTGGTCCATTACGAGCCGGATAGAATCATTTTTTGATGGTTGGTTCCGATTCTATTCATTAGTTTGTTGAAAACTTTTCCGATTTGTCAGTTTGCTGTATCATTTTTTATAAAGACAATAATAGTTTTTGCCGTTCTTCGAAAAAACATTGCCGTTGATTGTGATTTTGATAGCGATTATCTTTCCTTCGCTTCAAAGAATAGATTTTAGTTCCCCAACCGTTTCTTGTTCTTAATAATTAAAGAAGTTGAAAAATATTTCAGCCATTATTAATCAATCATTGATAAAAATAAAAACTGAATTCCATTTACCACTTTTTGTGCTATACGAGAGCTGATGATAAAAACGGTTAATATATTTACCTATGGTCCGCGTTTGGAAATTTTGTTATAGTCCAGTCAATATTACCACAAGTTGATTGAAAATTCCAAAATTAATTTGAATTTAGATTTGATTCCATTTCTGTCTGCTTGCTTCGAATTGAAATTTTTAGTGCACAGAATATTTCACAATGTCTAAAACAGAAGAGGAACGGGCCCTTGATAGATGTATAGCTAAAAGAGAAAACATATTTCGAAGAGCCCAATTGTGTTTTGATGCCGGTCTCGCTTTAGAACAAGATGCCAATAATCCTATCAAATTGAAAAACTTCACTATACGGTATAACACATTTGCCAAAACGGCTCAAGAATTCAAGGAAATTGGTCAGGAAATTGTTGAGCTCAAACAATTGATAAAGCCTAATGAACCAGTTAGTTACAGTTTTCTTGATGGTTTTGAAGATTTGTATAGTAATATTGAATACTTTGGCTCCCAACTGATTCCCAATACTACTACTATTGCCACCGCTTCAAACAACAATCAACTCAACGAAAATAGATCTCGTGTTCACATGCCCAAGATTGAGTTGATAAAATTCGATGGGGAAGATTTAACAATATGGCCTATTCTTCATGAAAACTTCAAGTATTTGGTTCATGCGCAAACAGAATTTTCTAAGGCTGAAAAATTACAGTATTTATTGGGAAGTCTAACTGGTAAAGCATTGAGGACATGTAGTGCAATTGAATCCTTACCAAATAATTATGACATAATTTGGAATTTATTAGAACAAACTTATAATGATACCAAACTTCTAGCACATTTGTATCTGGATCGTTTGTTGAATTTCAAAACCTTATCGAATAATCATCCTTCTGGATTACAATCTTTTTTAGAAAAGTTTGATACTAATGTTACCTCGTTGCATCGTTTGAAATTAAATGATTTAGCTGATTATATATTGACCCATATTGCCATGACTAAATTGTCTTCGGAAACCATTAACTCCTTTGAACTTGTTCGTGCTAGTACAGATTTACCAAGATATGATGAATTAATAAAATTTATTAGACAACAAAGTAAAATTGTTATGAAAATCGAAAGGCCTAGGATAGCGCCAAGTACCTCTAATTCCAAATATTCTTATAACGCTCCCAAATATTCGAAAAGTTTCCTTACTGGTGATAGTATGGTAAAAAATAATTGTATTGCTTGCCACAGAGGTTCTCATCTCCTGAGAGATTGTTATCAATTCAAAAACGTACTATCCTTCGATCAAAAATTCAAATTAGTTAAAGAAAATAATTTGTGTCTGAATTGTTTCTCCAGTAAACATAGAGTGGCTTCTTGTCCTTCCAAATTTTCCTGCTTGAAATGCAAATCTAAACATCACACTACTCTACACAAAAATGATGTAACAAGTGATCGAAATAATTGCGCAAATATCGCGGCTGAAATTGAGCAACGCTCACATAGTGAAGTTAATACCCAAAGTACAAATTTGAATGATACTATCCATAGTCTATGTACTGAAGTAAACTCTAGTGAAAATCATAGAGTCCCGGGGAATTCACGTAATATTGTATTATTGAGTACGGCACTGGTAAAAGTATTTGATCGGTGGGATAGGGAGCAAAATATTCTAGTCCTGATTGATAGCGGTTCCATGTCCAATTTATTGACGCTGGATTGTTGCAGAAAATTAGGACTTACTTATTCCAAATTGAATTCGAATATTCTAGGACTCGGCGGGACATCCAAACCTCTCCGGGGTAGAACTTGTTTAACAATCCATTCAAATATTGACCCCACAATTGAATATCCAATTGAAGTCTTGCTTGTTGATAAAATA